AATTTTTGAAAAGCCCAAAAAAAAAAAAAAAAACACACACACACACACAAATTCCCCAGATTTTTAGCATCAACGCCTTAGGTTGATAAATTCAGGCTATGGGGATGAAAGATTTGCATTTTGGATTTTACCTTACTGCATTAGTTTAGGGAAACGGATATTGCTACATATACATCAAGCTTCTCATAATAGATTACATAATACCACATGTCACTTTATTTATTTGTAGATTAAATACATTATGGGAAATGCTTTTCATAAGATGTATTCCTAATGCCTGGACTTGTGTTCTGATTCTCATGTTTTGAATCCTTTAACATATTAATTTTGTGCATTACAGAGCTAGATAGCCATTTGCAAATCTTGAAAAACAAAATCGTAAAATATTGGTGTGACTTTTTCATCCTTTCAAGTGGATAATACTGTATTATTGATTTAATGTAGTTTCTGTTCAATTTATTATTCATGGAATTTTTTGTTTGTCCTTAAATAATGTGGGAGGGTCATCCTATACAGTGGTAGATAGTACATATTATCCTCTCATAGTGGGTGCAATCGATGTTCGCATAGAGTTGCACTTTATCTTAGGGTATTATTCATTTTTTCTCATTGACCTTATTTTCACATGCCCAATTTTATTTGTTTATACACAAAGTTCTTTGTAGACCTGACATTTTGACCGAATTATCCAGTTTTCAATAAAATAATTTAGGAACCAAAACTAATAACCAATTGAGTTCGGTTCGATTCTTGAGTCGTGAACAAGAACGGATATCCGAATAGAACTGATTTTCATATAATTTTTTTATTTACAATTTGTGAGCTGGGTAAAAGAAAGAATAAAACCTAAAAACTCTAATTTAGGTTGTAATTAATCTAAAACTCTAGATTTTAATTCTAAAAATAAGATTGGCTTGTACTTTTTTGCTTCTTGCCCAAATCAGATTGTTACATTTCAAATTTTAGTACATGTGAGTGAAGAAGTTCAAGTTTGGTTGCAATGTAAGTTGATGAATTGAAGTGTTCATTCATTGCAATTTAAGCTTTTTACTTTCTTGCATTATTTATAAACTTAAGTGATTTTTTTAGTCTTTTTTTCTTTTTCTTTTTTCCTTTTTAATAATGTGTGGCACTTGAACTTGATACATTTATAACTTGGACTGCAGTGTACCTTTTTGGTTATCTTGAGGTTGTGGTTTTCTTATGACATATAATTTTTTTTTTTATTCAAACATAAATTTTAATATGTTTAAGGTAATTTCTTGATATCATATAGTCATGTGTATAATTAATATTTTTTTATGTCAGTTCGTTTTGAGAGTAGGTGAATTTAAATACCGTTCATAATTGAATTGTTGGCTCTAGCATACCTCACTTAAGGATCGAATAAAATTTATTAAGAAAAAGTATTTTCTTCTCAAATTGTAATTTAATTTTTGATATTTTAGTTATTTCCTTTTTTCTTGAGTTTTAGTCTCCACTATTTTGCTCCTTGAAGATTTCTTAGCTAAATTTTCTTCCTTGTACAAATATTGTTGAGTTATAGCATTTTAGGTATTTTTGCTAAAGGGCTTATATAAAAATATTAATTAAATGAACGTAAAAAAAAAATTATGGGTATAATCGAACTCAAACCAAAATCAACTATTCGGGTTTGGGTTTGATTCCAATATTTATAAGAACCCGAATGGTTTTATTTAAGAAAATACCTAAAATAGTGGCATTAGTTTGTTCTATCATTTTTGCATAGCTTTTTTTTTTTGTTTCAATTCATAAATATTTGAATTAACTATACTATGAACAAGATAACAAAGTTATTTATAGTATAGAGAAAGAGAAGAAAAAGAAACATAATAGTGGCATTAGTTTGTTCTATAATTTTCGCATAGCTTATTTGTTTCAATTCATAAATATTTAAAAAGATAATGAAGTTATTAGTATTTATTAAGTGCAGGTGACAAATCTCAAATAGCATTGAAATTAGATTGTAGAACTTTCTGTTCTTAACATTTTTACAAGATATAAAAATAAAATAAAATAAATGTGAAACACTTCTGAGTAATATATATCACTATTTATAAGAATGACTAGGATTGAACACTTTATTATAGCAATTCAAGTATATAGAGATGCAACACTGAAACACAAACTACAATACAACTTAACCAACACATGTTATTTCATTTGTATAGTGAATCATATAGAGAGGACATGGCCGGTTTAGAATCGTCCCACACTCCCACTTCAGTCTGTTTCTTCAATATCTGGACAAACCTGATCCTGCAAAGTATAATATTCACCAATTCTTAGCCTTTATTCTTTTTAGTTTTTAGCACATTATCAGAATTGGAAGAAAATTCTTTTTTCTTTTTGCTTTTTTACCTGAGGGCGTTTGTCCTCGCTTAAATTTACTGTCCTCAGCCTCAGTTCTCCTCTACTAGTTGTCAGTTCATCCAATATCTCAGCATCACAAATATTCTCTTGAGTCCCCTCATTTTCCTAATCATATCACAGTTAATAAGTCATTTTCTGATGAAGATGTTTTGTATTCCATCACAAATTATGGCTATTTGCTTGTTCTCGTAAGCTTTAGACTTCATTGAGATGAAATATGTGAATTTAGAATTATAATACTTCCAAGATGTGTCAAATCCATGTCATTGATTGTTTAAAGCGTTATTAAAATCAATGTATAAAAAGTAGTCACTTCACAACAATGTCAAACTTGATGTAACTGCAGCAAAATTGGTGAATATATGTATCATTTTTCTTCTTATATTATTCTCTCATACTGTGAGAGTGGTAGTAATAATTTGAAAAACATAAGTGTCATGGCAAATATTGATGTATAGGCATAGGCATACCCGGGAGGAAAGAGTTGGAGAACGTTGTGGGGCTCCAGTAATTTCCTCGTACTCCGCTGCGTCGAGCTCACAGAGGTCATGAGACGGAAACAGCTTGGGGAGAATATGTTGTCTTATGCTTATGAGAAGGAAAAAAGGCAATGGAAAGAGAATTCCAGCTACTGGGATCCAAGTCACTCCAAAGCATAAAACTAAATAAACAATCTGAAATAGGGTGAAGATTGCAATATATTTGAATGGTACTAACTCCACAAATGAAGCATGGACTTTCTCAAGAACCCTGCCAAAATAATCAAACACCCCAACTAGTATTAAAATAAGACAATAAAATTTGTGGCTTGAATTCAATGAGTTGTATAAATTAGAACGTACTTGTAACGTCGGCTTGGGGCTACAAAGAGGAGCAAAATCCTATCCCAGAATTGAATGCCAGGGAGGCTGTCAATAGCCATATAAGCAAAATAGCCAGAAAGAACTGATGTTGGTATCAACTTAATCACGGGAACGGCACATAATGAGACTGCGACAAGAAGTGATTGCAATAGATTGCTCACTCTCTGCTCATTTACGCGAACTGGCATGTATTCATCAATATGTTTTTCAGGGTCGAATTTCTCCTCTGTTTTTTCTGCGTCGTTCTCGCTTTTCATTACTGCCTCTTTCAAGTTTTCCAGCTCTTTAACCACAGTTGTCTGTAGTAGGAAACTTAAATTCATATTCAAAGAATATAAACAGTAACTTTAAGTCCATACACAGTTGATTCTGAAGTACATGCAAGTAAAGACTTACATTAACGGGAGGTTTGTCTATTTCTATGAAAGCAGCTTGCATCTCGCCATAGATTTCAGTACTGGTAGCTTTGCGTTTTATACCCTCCTTAGCACGTTCAACCATCTTCCTTCGAATAAACTGCTAATCAAAGTAGCCTTTTAGGATTTGAAATGACCCGATTTTCTACGCGAAAGAAATTCGTTTACTTCTTGAAGGACAGTAATTACCCGTGTTTTAAGAACTGCTAGGCTTTTAGTATGCATTGGAGACTGAGGCAAGACTCCATTTGAAGGAGGCAATCCAATTAATCCACAGAGCAAAGTCTGATAACATTATAACAATGCAAGTACTTATCAAACTCAAATAAGCCTAAATTGGAATAAAGCGAATCACAGAAACTATGGCATACCATAAATCCAAGCAATAAGATGTCATAATGATAGGCAGAGGGATTCTTGAGATTGAACTCCTTTTGTTGTGCCAATTGTGAAGCAACACTATGATCGAAAAAATAAAGTCCAGCTATCATCACAGCCGGAACAGTGGCGGCAAAGATATAGGTTGAAGGAACCTTCACCATATCCTGCAGATTTAGCATGTTGAAGTGACTGCTAAATTAAGATTCTTTTAAATGAGGAATTGGTTCCAACGGTGCGGTGTTATACAGTTAAATTTTACTACTTTGCTAGATGATTTATACTATCCTCCTTGACAGGTGTGAAGGTAGATGGAAATGATGACAGTGTTTAAAATAGTCTAATGATAGAATATCATGTGGTATTATGTCAACCTATCTGTCAACGAGGATGGCACTGGAGCATGACCATATTCAATTAATATATGTTTACTATTTGTACCTTGATTACAGTCCAGTGGTATACAGATATAGATTCCCAAGGAAGGGGAATCAGAGGCCTTCGAGGAATGCCTGATGGGAGATTATCTGGTGTGACAAATGACATTGCTGTCCATACCAAGACCATCAAAGGCACTCCATAGTCTGCAATGAAACCTCTGAGCCAACCTGTTTCGAAAATAGTTATGGCATTTACAATTCCAGATTTATTCTGTTTTAACTGAAAGAATAATGCTACTTTGCCATAAGAATCTGGCCAGATGCATTGATAGAAGACACTGTGGTAGGAGGTGATTCGGTGGGATAGCTAACTGTGTTTAAAACAGTCCAATGATAAAATGCCATGTAGCATTATGTCAGACTTTCCGTTCCTGTAGCATGATTGTAACTAAAATCAACAGCTGACTCTGCATTACAAACCTGTGCCGTAACACCAAGATCTGGCTCTTCTGCTTTTTAAGGAAGTGTAGAGAAGTCCAAATGAAAATATAACTCCAAGTAAACCATTTGTATAAAGCCATTGGAACTGGTACTGCTCTGAATTTGAGTCCTCGGATTTTGGAATTCTGAACTCACCAACAATTCCCTATCATATTAATTAAAACAGAAAATAACATTAAAAATCATCCAATAAGATTTTCAAAATTGTACTATCTCGGAATTACGCGTTTTTGGTACCTTAATTGCCTCCTGAATGAAAAGAACAGCAATCAACATGCCAAAAGTTTCCCCAGCAATTCTTGTAAATTTATTTATGATGTTGCAAGCATTGAATATTGCAAGAAGAAACAAGAACAAAGCTGTCCACACACAAACCCTGCAACAAAAAGAGAGGAAAAATAGCTCATTTTAAAATCAAGATTATAAAATCTTCCAAAGCAATAATTAGCATATCAAAACAAAACTAATAATACCATGCAGCCCAAGCCACATAGAGATTTTGTCCCAAGTCTTCCCTTCCTTTGGCAAATTTGTAGAGATAAGAGTACATTATGATAGTTGGTTCTGCAACTCCTAATATCAGCAGAGGCTGACCACCAAATATAGAGTGTATTATACCACAAATTGCAGTTGATGCCAAAGTTTCTACTGTGCTTAGGCTCCCATCTGCAATACAAATAAAACAGTACAAAACTTGTAATCTCTCATAAACAGGGAAAAAAATAATAATAATAAAAAATAAATAAATAAATAAATAAATAAATAAATATATATATATATATATA